CCCTGGCCTCTCACCACGAGCAAAACACAGCCTGTGAAGCCCAGGCCCTCAAGTCAGAAGCCACGACTGACTGACTTCCTCCCTTCCCTTCCCTTCCCTTCCCTCCTTCCTTCCTTCCCTTCCCTCCTTCCTTCCTTCCCTTCCCTCCTTCCTTCCTTCCTTTCTCCCTCTGTAGTACCAAGGTTTGAATTTAGAACCTGGTGCTCTACTACTTGAACCCCCACACCCTCCATCTTCTTGTTCTGTTTTTCAGCTAGAGTCTCATGGTCTCCCGGGGGGCTGGCCTTCTAGGGGATCCTCCTTCCTCTGCCTCCCCAGTAGCTGGTATTACAGGCATGCACCGTGCCAGCCAGCCTTCCTCTATACCACCCTACCCTGATGCGGGCTCAAGTCCTGGTGCTGAGACCCATGGCAGGGAGCACCACGGACCCCCAATAAATTAATGAATAAACTGGGGAGGAAACGTGGGCTGAGCTGAGCCCGCCTCTAAGGCGGGCTTCCTGTGGGGTCTCAAGCCAGGTGCTGAACCCCGCTGCGCCAAGTCAGCCCTTCCGCCACTCCGAGACTCCCTTCCCCGTCTCCTCCCTCCCCAGATTCCCAACCCCGAGCCCCAGCCAGGTTGCCAGTCCTGCTGGTTATCTCATTTGCACCTGAGATGTCCGTAAATTGGTGTCTCAGCAGGCAGCAGGTGTGTGCTGCCAGGAGAGAAAGAGGCGGGCAGGGGAACAGGGCAGGGGTGAGAGGAGGTAGGGGACCCGGGAAGGTTGTTGTGAAGACACAGGGGGCGTGGAAGGAAGCCCCACTCCTGCCCGGAGTCGGGGACGGTATGGCTGTGAAGTCAGTGGCGCTGTAGGCTCAACCCGGTGCCCACCAGTTTCTAGCTGTGTGTCTGGGAGCCAGTGGGTCCGCCTCCCTGAGCTTCCAGGGTCAGGTCTCCCCTCACTAGGTGCCTTTGGCTTTCTTTCTTTCTTTCTTTCTTTTGTGGGACCTAGGGCTTGAACTCAGGGCCTGGGCACTGTGGCTGAGCTTCTTTACTCAAGACTAGCGCTCTACCACTTGAGCCACAGTACCACTTCCAGTTTTCTGGTGCCTAAGAGCAGATCAGAGTTTCATGGACTTACCGGGCTGGGCTGGCTTTGAACCTCGATCCTCAGATCTCAGCCTCCCGGGTAGCTAGAACAACAGGTGTGAGCCACCGGCGCCGGGCTGTAAGGTAACTTTTGAAGGTGAATCAAGGGCCAGGGCATCTTGGCGGCTCACTTAAAAAACCAACAACAAATAAGCAAACAACCACCAGCAATGAATGGAGTTCCAATGCTGGTGAAGTTCCTCGCAGGGGCTTTTCCCTCCCAGACATGTGAGGACGCGGCGCCCTCTGCTGGCATCTCAGGGTAACTGCTCTGTAGCTGCAGAATTCCAGATCTCCAAGGAGGAGCAAAGACCTTTGAAAACCTCCAGGCTTGGGAGCCACCCCAAGCCCGTGGACGCAGAAACTTGGGGTGCAGCTTGAGTGCTGATAATTTTTCCAGCGCCTCACAGTGCAGCAGAGAGTCCAGTAGGATCTCTGATTTGAGGTAGTTTATATGTGAAGAAAATGTAGTCTAGAACAGAGGGAAGAAGGGCGCTGTTGGCCGAGGATGAAATTTCTCCGGATTGAATAAAAATATGAACCGTGTGAGGCTGACCTGGGTCTCCTCAGGGGCTGGGGAGCCTGGGAGCCACGGTTGTCATGGTAACTGGTCTATGCCCTGGGAAGGTCTAAAGTCCAGCTTCTGTTGGGTCTGGTGTACTAGGAGAGGAGGAAGCTGTGGGAATAAAATGAGTAAATGATTGATATTGGCTCCCTAGGCTTCTTTTCTTCTAACACAGTGGATCTTAGACTTGGTTCTGTGAAAGGATCCACTATTAAAAGCCAGGAGTGACAGCTCATTGCCTGTGACCCTATCTTTACTGGAGGCAGAGAGAGAGAGAGAGAGAGAGATCTGGAGGTTTATGGTTTGAGGCCAGCCTCAAAGTTCTCAAGACATCACCTCAACCAAGAAAAGCTGGGCGTGAAAATAACACATCTGCCATTCCAACTACTCAGGAAGTATAAATAGGTGGGGCCCTGTGACTCATACCTATAATCCTAGTTACTCGTAAGACTGACGTGTGAAGGTCTTGGTTAGAAGCCAGGCTGGGCTGGCATAGTTCTCTCCTGTTGGGAGTATCACTTCACCTATGTTTCTCTGACACATTTTTGGCTTAGTTTGCTAAATCATGAGGCTTGAACTCAGGGCCTGGGTGTTGTCCTTGAGCTTTTTTGCTCAAGACTAGCACTCTACCACTTTGAGCTACAGTTCCACTTCTGGCTTTTAGGTGTTTAACTGGAGATTAAGAGTCTCAAGGCCTTTCCTTCCTTTCCTAGGCTGAATTCAAACGAGGATCCTCAGACCTCAGGCTCCTGAGTAGCAAGGATGACAGGCACAAGCCACCAGCACCTGACTGGCATAACACCTGGCAGTTCAATTTGAACTTGCTAAGTCTGAAACACATACACACAAAGCGCCCTTCTTGTGGCCCTAGGTTCTCACTATACATCTTTTCCTTCCAGATTGAGATAAATGTTGTGATTACTGGTACACATGATCAAAATAAATAGCATTTCCTCAGTTCTGTCACAGAAATGGCCATGACAAACTGTAAAAGGACATCTACCCACATTCGAAACCGGTGGCGTGGACGGGCATTTCTTATCAGGCCTAGGGAGGAACTTTTGACCCAGGATTCCAGCTTGCTGCAGGGGGACCACCCACTCCCCACAGGGCATGACTTCATTTGCATAACCAGATTATCCTGGCTGGCCCCATTACTCTTTTGCCAACCTTTCTCAGCCTGGTCTCCTCCCTGACCTCCAGAGCACGAGTCCCTGTGGCTTTGAGTGGCCTGGGTCTCGGCCCCCTTAGCCCCACTTGGAGCCTCAGACACCGCCCTCCCCCCTCCCCAACGAGGACCTTGAAGACTCTGTGCTCTGAAGCAGGCCTGACCCATCTCCTGGGAACTCCTGGCAGAAGCAGAACTGAGAAGGCTGATAAGTCATCCTGGCTTCATTTTGACCAGACAGGGTCGATACTGGAGTTCTAAGCTCCAGGCCCCAACTCCACGAGCTCTAACAAGTCAGAGCCGGCCACACGCCAGAGAGAAGAGAGGCAGAGAAGGAGGTCTATGCCCAGGCAGCCAGGGGAAGGGAGTCTTCAGTCGTCTTCAGCTGACTTGGGTGGGGCGGGGCAGACACGTGCTTGGGGTTAAATAGAATTGGGGGGGGGACAGGTAGCCACCCAGTCCCAGGTATCCAGGGGCCTCAGGGCCCTTCCTGGGTTACACGACGGCTGCAGAGAGGCTGCTGGGGCTCAGGGTTCAGTGCTCAGGACGCGGGGCCGAGTCATAAGAAGCCGGGGGTGGCTGGCTTCCACCCAGGTAGTTTTAGGGGTTCACCTCTCTCCGTAAGCAGTAAGAAGCACCTGTCGCGTCCACAGCGCTGGCCACGCCCCCGGCGGGAGTCCCGCCCCCGAGGCTCCGCCACGCCCAATCCCAGCCGGGCAGGACCGACCAATGAAAAGAGATCACGGGCGGGCGCTGCGGTGCGGCGAGCCAATCAGCGGGCAGCCGGAGCCGGGCTTGCCCGGGCATGTGGGAGCAGCTGCCGGGAATCCATGTGCGCGCCGGCTGGAAGAGACGCG